TCTACCTCAACCCTAAAAGTGGAGGTGCTGTGGACGCTAAATGCCGTAGCTAAACACCAATCCTACAACAGCAATGATGAAAGATTGTAGCCAAGGGAGCAGAGCTCAGAAGTTAGCTCTCGTCAGACAGACATACACACACACACACACACACACACACACACACACACACACACACACACACACACACACACACACACACACACACACACACACACACACACACACACACACACACACACACACACACACACACACACACACACACACACACACAGACACACACACACACACACACACACACACACACGCACACACACACACACACACACACACACACACACACACACACACAATTTCACGGTTATGCAGTTCTTTTTTTTCTGGTTTTTGGCTAACACAGTTCTGTGAGCTGTTGTGTTCAGTCATCGTTCTTATTTTGAACGTGAATACATTTACTTTGAAAGTAATTATGGGACGTATTTCTTATTTCATAGCAATTTTCCTTCATACTTTCTTGCCGTGAAATAGGTCTTAATTTCTATTCAAAGTGATCTTAAAAAGGTCTTAAAAAGTCTTACATTTGAGTTGGTGAAACCTGCAGGAACCCTGTAAACACAAACACATTTAGTGCAGTAATCCCTGCCCAGTTGGAATCCCATACTGTATAAAGGGTCTAACAAGAAACTATACGAGGATGCTGCAATAAAACCCTTCAGCAGTGATCGCAAGCTACGGAGTCAAAGGAGTGGCTTCATTATCAAATTCCAGATGTTTAGATGAGCATACAATCTTGGTTATAAAAGACCCCTCTTGGATCTGAACCCTTCATAGTCACTGCGGCGCCAAAGATGGCATCCAGTGCTTCCTTGTTAAAGCATGTCCGTCCATACAGTGAGACTAAGCGGAGAGTTATCTGGAATGAGCCCTAGGCTTAAGGGCCTCTAAATCATCACAGTAAAATGGTATTTTACAAGGTATTGTTTCTCAGAAGATAAATGGATGGTCATATATCACCTAAAGACATCATCACATGCTCCAGGTGACTCGTTCCAATCAACAGAAAAGTGATAGTCACTATGTGATAAATGTGGACGTTAAATTAACCCCTGAACACCTCTCCTCCCCTGGGCAGAGCTACACTGGCATTCTGTGTGATCACTTGATTCCATGCCAATGAAATAATGATGAAGGTGTATGTCAAATACATACTCAGCAAACCAAAAAAAGTGAAATCTCCTGTGTGGGTGTACCATGCACAAGGCTTTCAAACCAGTAAACACATCAATTAGTAATACAACTTTCTCATTGCAACATTTTCCTTTTCAAATACATGTATCATTAAAAACATTACTTGTGTGCATTCCACAGTTTGCACACTTGCATAACATATTACCAGGACATCTCACTGGAACAGAGCCATCATTAATGTTATCACTAACACCTGTTCTTCACCACTGCACCACACATTCTGGCATTTTAATTCATACAGCATGTAAAACGGGACATCTGTGTTTTTGAGTTCTGCAGTGTGCTGTGAGATTGTTGGTGTACAGGTGTACAGTACATTAACAATGTTGTTGTAGGCATGCAAAAACCTGCAATAAAAAAGTAAAAGTTTGGATTTTACATTACATGTCACTTGTTGGACGCTTTTACCCAAATCAACTAACATACACTCAATACTCTGGGCAGTCCCCACTGGAGCAATTGGGGGTGAAGTGTCTTGCCCAGGGACACAGCGGCATGCTGACGGCAGTGGGGATGGAACCAGTGCTCCCTTCACCCACTGAGCCACATAGCCTGGATGACATGTTGATATTATTTGGTTTCACTCTATCAATTATTAGCTATTTCCCCAAAAATATGTTTTCCTTTTGCACGCTCCTGCTGTAAACTATCCTAAAAAGGAACAGCTGCAGAGCCATGACTCACAGCATACAGTATGTCATTTGGAGGCAGAGACAGCTCACTGAGGACACCTAGTGGACAGGTGGTGTGCCAACACACCTGCAGCTGGGTCTGATCCTCTCCGCCCTGCTCAGACAGATCCTGAGTCCAGATGTATCCACACTGTGCCCAGATCCAGTTGGGTTTAAACCGTAGTTCACATCTGGCATTAATGTGTCTAAAATGGGTCTCGAGTGAAATATCAATTTGATTGAGTGATTTACATTGTGTAATGTCAAGTTCTGAAATTCCTTTCAGTGAACCTCTGTTAGCAACTGGCTCAAAGCTACACTCAAACTGTACGAGAGGCAAGAGAACAGCCAAACCCGAAAAAGACAAGGTACCTGGTGCATAAAAGGTAATGTCAACAGCTGGGAGTATGTGGTATAAGGGTAAATAAACATGTGCTGTGACAATAAGCAGGTATGGAGCCACAGTAAGATACACCCATCTGACTTTTTTAGATACCTGTGTTTTTTAATAAGTTGTATGCCTCACGGTGTGGAAGAGACTGTTATTATTCTTCAACAATAATTGTAAGGCAACATCAGGCCTTGTTACTTTAATTGAATCTTAGTAAAAATATAACACATACTGCTGTGTGAGTGTGCAGGTGCTGCTCATTCTGCTGATTGGCTGTCTGACTCCTGATTGGTCCACCTGATGACATCAGCACTTTTTGAACAGCAGCAAGACAATCACTCTGCTTTGAATGTTCTGTGATCTGTAGGCTTTTGGCAAGTTTACATTTGGTATTTTTGAAGCACTAAAAGCAGTCGTAGAAGTGAGAAGCCCTTGTTTATGTGTTTACTCAAGATTGTAGGTGCTTAGGTCAGAGGTTTTGTTTTTTTGTTTTGACGTTGCTCAAGTCCGAAGTTAAGCCAAACTGATAATTAGATTATTACATTGTGTCGCAGATCTTTCTTTGGAGTGGGGAAAGTGGGCAGTTGCATTTCTGTTAGTTTCCCCTAGACCAGGGACATAACATGAACTGGGGACTCCTTCGTTCTTCCTGACGGATTTGTTATGTTGGGTAAAATTGAATATATTTTAATGTTTTTTTATCAAGTATCTTGCCCAAGTACATGTTGACAACAGGGACTGGGAATCGAACAACTGACCCTCTGATTGGTACATGTCCATTTTATTCACAAGTGAAAAGTGAGCATGCACAGAGGCGGTCTAGTTTTTTCTAAAAGACGACCTCAGGCAGGTTTGCTCCAGTGCCATTAGCCTCAAAGGTCTTTGTACCTACAACAGTAGTTAAGACACATTCTTTGTGTTGTAGGAACTTTTGCTTTTTGAGTTATTCATTCGTCAAGTTCAAATTTGTCAATAGATTTCTAACTTCGCAGAGTTACAATAGTAAATCGTAGGCCTAGACCAGCAACTTGGTAAAAGTCTTGAAAAATAAATACAAGTGAAGTCAGTTCAACTTCATTGCACTGTTTAAAACATTGAACTGTTAACCAGTGCAATATTGTTCAAATCATAGTATTAGGAATGATTCTTTTAGACGTGCGAACATGTGTTGCACCAGCCACAAGTGTAAATTCAAGTGTAAACCTTTTTAATGCAGCAAAACTCATACATTTAAAATCCCTAAAAGTGAGGGAGGATTGTCGAACAAAGAAATCAAAGCGAAGTGTGATGGTTCTAAAGCTGGGAGAACTGAACAGTAGAAGAACTAACTAGCAACTGGTGAGCTCTTCCTTCCATACAATTTATCATTTGGAACATCCAGACGGTAAAGGATAGTATTTCCTCAAGTAAAGAATATTAACTCATCAAAGCTTACTGAGGACATCCAGTGGAGGAAAAAGGAGCTCCTCAAGTGGTGGTTGGTGTAATGCATTTTTCTTTGTGACGTAAAGGTGTCACATTGTGTTTTTTTAATTGAGCTTCATCAATGCTGTGATATACAGCCAATTAAATGTTCAAATACAAACTTCACAAAATGTCTGTTCATGGCTTATTGTAATATTCTAGCAAAAATGTTATTCTTATGCAGTAACAAAGTTCTGAGGCGTGAAGGAGATGAGTTTTATTTTTGCATATGAGGTTCACCTGAGCTAAGTTCCATATCATTTCTGCTTGCCTCTAAATGTTCTATTATAATGTCAAATTCTTGGCTCAAAAATATCTAAATGTTTACAAACCCAGTAAAAAGAATAAAAGTATCATGAAGACTTACTACAGAGGATCCCTCTTTGGGCATACAATACTCGCCATGACCCGTACACAATGTTGCTATTGCAGAAATAAGAACATGGGCCCAATAAAATACTTCTTTAGTATATAATATAATAAAGTGATCATGGGACACTAACACCACTAATAAAGATGTTGAAACACAACATAGTGGTTCAAGATAACTGACCAGGGAAGTTTTAGCTTCCACTATTTTAGCACTTAATTGTTTTTTGTCATTAAATACTCAGTTGTGAACAATGCTGTTATCTGTAGCTGGTCGGCAGTAGACTGGAGCATTAATGACTTCCATGGTATTGTTCATGTGCACCAAACTGTCTCTTTTAGGACCTCTGTGGATTTCTGTCTGTGGTCAGTGCCCCAGAAGCCTGTTGTTCCACTTTCACAGCTTCAAAGTGGAACAAAGTGGTGGCATTTAACACAACTGAAGTAAAACTACAGGAAATGACTTTCATGGGTACAGATGGATTTCGAAATCTGGGTCTTTGCCCCATAAAGAACAAATGCACTTTCTAAGACAAGTTTATCAGCTTAAGTTAAAGGGAGCGATGAAGTGGATTTTTTATATTCTTTGTTTGTATTCTTTCATTTTCTTTAAGGACAGATGGTGGCTGAATGTGTTAACCAACAATGTTTCCGAGAGAGGAGGTTAACAAACATACATTTTAATGAAATGTCTTGTTTGTCAGTATCATGCACATCAAACTTTATTTAATGCCACAAAAAATTATTCATGCAATGGATAAGAGATTATATCAGTGATATCAAATTAGACTCTGTTTGCAGTGCTTTATGAGAGGACTCACAATCTAAATCAAATTAAGTGACAATTTACGGGGTTTTTTCAGACAGTGTTTAATCAGAAATTCTTACAGAATAATGCAATCAGAAACACAAAATAGTAAAACAAAATAGTAAACAGAAAAGGTAATAATGGTTCTGGAAAATATGTAGGAATAACACTTTTAAAATGTATTTTTTAATAAAAATACTTTTTCAACATCATACATAATGCAAGAGAGCAACAGGTTGAGGGTTTATTAGCTTGAGAAGCCATCTTGATCATGTTATATTTGTATCTAAGCACACAGATGCTTCTACCTTCATACAGCTTCGCAGAGCAGCAGCTTTGGAAAGAAGAAGTGCAGCGTGTTCATTTGCATTACTAGAAAGCTGTGTAAAACTGCAGTGTCATGCACTGAATGATGTGAAGTGGTTGGATCCCTCTGAAGAGACACGCCCTGAAATGAAGATGTCGGACGTTGCGCGTGAAGTGCGTGCGGGGTAGATGTACTTCTTGCTAAAGCACCACAGGTCCACCATTATCTGCCGGAAGTGGCTCCTGAACTTCACCCCGATGAAGGCGTACAGGATGGGGTTGAGGCAGCAGTGGAGGTACGCTACGCTCCTGGAAATGGCCAGAAATTTGAGTTTAATCTTCTCCAACGTACAATTCCTCTCCTTAAAAAGAGACAGGGTGTGGTTCAGCAGAGCAGCATTGTAGGGAAGGTGGCAAATTATGAAAACCACAACAACCGCCAAAACCACGCGCACTGCCTTGTGCCTCTGGCTGCTCTGCACCCTCAGCAAGGTGCCCACGATGCAGGAGTAGCAGAACACCATCACCAGCAGAGGCAGAAGGAAGCCGATGGCCATCTGAAGGGTGGGGACCACCACCTTTATCAGCTTTGCCGTTTCACTCTTGTCGAAAGACAGTTGACAGATCACAGAGACGGGTTCGTCTGCATGTAGATTGAGCTCTTCAATGTGCTTGGTGTAGAGCAGCGTGGGCAGAGTTAGCGCCATGGCTAACACCCAGACAGCTGAGCAGATGAGGCGGCTGTAGATCATCAGAGCACGAGAGCGAACACCGAAGGACCTTTTAGCCTGAACTATAGCCACGTAGCGGTCGCCGCTAACGCACGCCAGCAGGAGCATGCCGCTGTATAGGTTGATGCTGTAGGCTGACCTCAGCACCGTGCAGGCCACGGGGCCCATTGCCCAGTTGTTCTGCTCGTTGTAGATGATGAGCGGCAGAGCCAACACGAAGATCAGGTCTGCCACGGCCACGTTGAAGAGGTAGACGTCCGTCATGGTCTTGGCTCTCTTGTAGAACATGTAGGTGGCGATTACCAGGGTGTTGCCCATCAGACCACAGGCACAGATGATGGAGTGGATGTACGTCTCGGTGAGGACGTCCACAGGGTTGGGGTCCAGGTTGCAGGGCTCAAACATTTCGTGAGTGAAGTTTTCGTAGTCTAGAATGACGTTTTCGTAGTCTGTCTCCATGTTTTAGATCTGGAGAAGAAAATAAATTGCAATTTACACCAACAACTAATTATGAGGCGACTGCTATAAAATGTCCAACATTTTCAAAACAAATTTCGGTGTCACATTTTAATAAAATGTCAGTACATAAGATAAGAAGATAATAAGATGTTGTGGTACAAATTGTAAAACGCACTTTAAATATTGCCAGTAACATTTTCAATGCAGAACCTTTATTTGTAATTGAGTATTTTTTGACTATTTTGTACTCTAACCAAGCAAAAATATCTGAATTCTCCCTCCACTAGGCAACTACCTGTATTATTAATCATAACATATGACTTTACTAAAAGGTATAACACATTTATTTATTCTTAAACTGATGAGTAATGTGCCCTAAGAAAGACTTCAGCTGGAAAGCGGTACCACCACAAATCTAGTTTATTTGCAAGGTGTGCATTACTTGGACTGGGTATGAGTCACATCACCGGTTTTTCTTCTGTTTACAGGAAAAAAGCCGGCGTTCTAGTTCAGCTCTACCTCTGGGTGTGAATGACCTTATTTCAAAAAGTGAATGCACTGGAGGCAGTGGGTTTGCTTTGTGCTTTGTCTGATCCCAGAAGCTGATAAGATCTGTATCGTGAAGGATCTGAGATGTGTCTCTGAGCATCAGTCAGTGTACAGAGGTCACTAAAATGTATCAGGTTCACAAGAGAGGTGCACAGATCTTTGATTTTTTTCTGACGATTCTCACAGGAAATTACCGTTTCTTTAATTAAAACATTTTAGTTTACTCGTGCTGTGTTCTCCAATGTTGCCTATACCCAAGTTTAAATAAAGTAAAAACACAAAAAAAATGTTTTTGATGAATCCTGCATTTAAAGTTTGACTCCATGTAAAAGTACCAGCAATAAAAATGTACCTATATATTATATGAGTGCACTTTCTGAACAATGGCTCATTTCACAATAATAAATGTTGAAGAATTATAATCAGTGGTGGGAAATAACTAAATACATTTATTCAAATATTGTACATAATATGTCTTAACTTATACATAATAATGTATTTCTTGATTACATCATGCATTTATATTCTGAATCTTCAAAACAGCTAAATCTGTCAAATAATGAAGTGGAGTAAAAGGCACAATATTTCAAGAATTGTGAACATGTAATATACTAAGTAAAATATCTGAGCAAATGTACTTCCTGTCTACCACTGGAGCTCAGTAAAGCCTAGCAAACCTAATTGTATTTGATATAAATAATAAAATGTTTTTCCCTGCGTGACAGCATTAGACGTTTCTGTTTCAACGGATGAAATAATACACACCAACACAGGATTTCTCCTTTATGTAAATAGAAGCGTGTGAGAAACCTGTTGCGTGCTTCCACTTACTTCTTTCAAAGCCTGATAAGGAACAGACATGACAATGTGATGATATCTCTCATTTCAGCACTCTCACTTCTCACAAATTCCTACAGTAGATTATACGGGTCAATGAGGAAGGGATGGTTTTACACTAACAGTAGATAATTGAACGAGAAAAGATGAGCCTTTTGTTTAGCAACTCAGTATGAGAACTTCAAGAGTTCTGCATATATCGTTTCCATTGTTTACAGGACTGACAGTTCTGTAAAAGTCTGTCCTATGTGAAACTTGATTCAATAAAAACATTATACATTTTGTAAGTGAGCAATCAATCAGTGCAGTTTCAGGCTTTTAAATTCTTCACACACACTATGTCAAGGACAAACCATGACCTTACACTTTTACACTTACGTTTATTCTAAAGGATTAACACATTTAGAAACCCTAAAATAAGAGTTTGAGGAAGTACTACAATATTTTATGTAATTAAAAGTTGTTAAACCACAGTGTATAAATACTTAACTACAGATAAATGTCCTGCATTCAAAATATCACTTATTTCAAAGTACAAAAGTATTGCATTGTAATGAACTAAAACTATTGATGCATTAGTGTTCACCACTTCAATGTTGCAGCTAGTAAAGGGGGATCTTTAAAAAAGAAATAACAACATTTGCTTCTAAATTATAGTGGAGTAGAAGAATTCAGCGGCATTAAAAAGTACCTTTAAGTAAAGTATATGTATCCAAGAATTGTACCTAAGCACAGTAATATAGTACATTTATTGAGTTACTGTCCACCACTGGTGAAAATACATTAAGCAGTTTCCAAACTGGCTAATGTGACCAAATAAACCAAATAATGATTCATATTTACTTCTTCTATATTAGGTTATTTTCTATTCTGATCACACTTACCTTGCAGAAAGATGATTTATTCTCTGGGTTGAGCAGAGTGAGACAAATCTTCCTCCCGGAGCTTCGCTTGTGTCCAGGCTGCTTCTGAAAAAGGTCAGTGGCTGTATGTCACTAATAATGTGCGCTTTAAATATCAAAAGAAGAAGGATATAGGCAGAGCTGCGTTCTCACAGGCTCTGCTGCAGTGTGAGTAAAGTGCATCAGGGATCTTCCTCTTTTCTGAAGTCACACATGCAGGGACATTCTGCCTGCTGTTGCTTCCATGCGCTCAATTCACACCGACTGCTCAGTCGCAACAGGTCCAGCCTTGAAGTTAAGGACAGAATTGTTTAACGACTACTGTAGATTTGTTTTCACTTCATCAATTACATTTTTAATAGAGTTTTACAAACTACTGAATACAAGTTGGCTGCCCTCCCTTACTCTCACTCTATGTCTTTGGTCACAGGTGTAAACTCACTCATGCCAACATCCTGCACACAGAAACTCTCTCTTCTCTCATGCCCTCAAACCTCAATGTATGTTTTTCGGAGAATGTGCTTCCCCTTTGCTAGACAGTTATTTTGTTTTTGCCTGTACGTATTATTTATGTATTTTCTTATATTTTCTTGTGCCTGCTTCAATTTTGTCAGTTTTAAGTATTTTTGCAAACCCTGATTGAGCCTGATGAATCCTTTACAAAAAGTCAATGTTATTAGTTTTGTAGCATTTACTTGTTATGTGTTTGACATGAAGTAAATGTGTATTACAGTAAAATATGAGGTGCTTTTCCACAACATGACCAGCAGGTAGAGCTGCTATTTCAGTAGATAGTAGATCATTAACTTCCATTCTGTTGTAAAAAGTCACATCACAACTACCCATACTATGTTTATATTGACAGGATGCTAGATCTGATGACTTTTTTCAAGTTCTCATTCTCAGGCATAGAGGATCTGAACTCAGCTATTATTTATGGAACTTTTTGGCCTCAGTTTAATGAGCTTCGTGTGGTATTCAGGTACAATCAATGTCACTGATTCTAGGGATTTTAAGGAGAAAAAGAAAAACCAATGTTTTTCTTAAAGTAAAAAACAGATACTATGGCAGAACGGCAGCGAGATAGGGTTAGAACGCTGGATTCCCCACCATTTACTGATTCAAAATGAAAATAAATTGATATATAAGAAAACATTTTTATAATCGGTACTTTTAAAGTGAATGAGAACCCAGAGTGCATACAAGGAATACAAATAGACAATGGCTATGTTTTTTTAATTAACTGGCCACTGGCTTCCTGTTACACTTAAGTGGCCCCTGGGCGGTAACTGTTCAAACTGGGTTGAAACCGTTGAAACCCTTATCATAAATTCAATCTTGAAAGCCATGTGGTTGAATTTGTATCACTCTCTTACATTTAGAGAAAAACACTTACATCCACACCCATATAAAGGCATCGTAATCACACAGGGGGTTAAGATGTCATTTAAAGCAAAGTGCAGGTTTCCATCGTTGTTAGACTTAACTGCAAAGCTTGTGTTGAAATATGTAAGAGCCTGCTGCATCAAGCAATAATCTGGTTGTAAAACGTTTGCTTTCAAAATAAAAGCTTTTTATGTAAATCATCAATAAACATATACAGCTGATACAGTATACTGTATAACATGTAGTGTATACTTGTAGTGCATGGATGCTAAACATCAAGTCTCTCACCTTAAACACACACACACACACACTAAATTGTCACTTGCTTAACATTTAGGGTTGTAAAAGACATGCTCAAACACCAAATTAACTACTTGGGTTACCTTGTTGTTTAAATTGGTTATTTGTTCCCATCACCCCCAGCACTGATCATATGTTTATCCAAAATAAGTCAAATTGATTCCAACAATCCCCGGGTAAATAATTTTGAATTCATGTTTAAATAGCTTATACGTGTTGTTGTGTAATAGCGGAAACTAGGCTACTTAGAACCAGCACTGGAGACCCATTTGTGGCCCCTAGTGGGTCACTATAGCCATGCCTTTCTAACTATTTCCTCCTGCTCTGATCTTTGTCTCTATTTTGAACCTCATTATGCCTGTAGTAGCTCACACCCAGCTCCTTTAAAAGAAGCACTTATTTATCTCAAACAAGTTTAACTGCATATTCAAGGCGATATTACGCATTCTATCATGCCTCTATAAGGACCTTCATATAGATAATTTTTTAGCATTTTTATGAATTTGAAATGTTTCTCTTCTGATGACATCAGAACTTTTTATAAGTGAAGCATAAGGTTTTCATGCTGAGGGAGCCAATAACTTGGTTGCATTGTTCTGATTGAGTAATTACCATAGGTAATTACATCAATGTAAAAATAGAATATTATAACAAGTAGGGCAAGCTAGACTACAATTTACAATCAAACTCTGGCTCTGGGGAGAGCTATAAGTAGAAACATTCGATTTATATTAATCGACAGATAATCAATCAGCAACTGTTTTTGATTTAAATCAGGTATTTTAGTATCATAATGATAAAACATTCGTTTATATAAATCGATATGAGTGTTTGTATCATTTTATTTTGAAGTTAATAGTCGGAAGTGTTTTATTTCTTCTTCTACTGCACTTTTATCTTACCTGATGGAGCCATGGATGCGCATGTATGTCGTGCTATGGTATGCGCAACCGGTGTGGGCATGTCCCCTGCTGCCTCGCGGCAACTTGCTCTGCAGGTTATCCCGGTGAATCACTCCTTCAGCAGCTATAAGTAGGACAGCTCTCCTCATGGTTATGTTTTCCTTCTCGCACTTTCTGAATAACAGCCACCATGAGTAAGTCTAGCTCCCTGAAAGTAAAGAACTTATTTAAAAGCAAATCACCTGATAAAGAAAGCAAGGAGCGGAAAAGGTCCGATGTAGCAGCGTCCAGCCTCCGGGACAGGTCGGACACTCTGCCGGCAAACCTCGGTCCCTTAAACCCGGGAGACAGCGTCACTCTGCCCGGGGATGTTTTACCCATTTCCCCGAAAGAAAAGAAGCCAAGGAGGCTGTTGTCGTTTAAGATTAAACGAAAGAAATCCAAGCAGAACGAAGAAGCAGGAGGAGATGTGTTCTTCCCTGATGAACTGGACAGCTTCCAAAGCAACAAGTAAGAAACAAACTAGTTTATTTGTATTACATTTTTTGTTTCATGTTTTGATGCTATGGATTGTCGTTTAAGTTGATAATAAGATTCTGATATGTAATATGATAACCATAGAGCTGCACGATTAGTCGACTAATCATTAAGTTGATTGACAGAAAAGATCAACATAAACTGTTTTAATTGTTTTTATTCCTTAAATAAAATGTCCCTGCAGAAATAGCACAACAAATAATACAGACAGAACTTTGTTTTTTTACAATTTTAAATAAGACCCCTGATCATAAAACATGTTGTCAAATATAATTATTGTATCATTTGACCATAATCACTTTTGACTCTGGGAGCTGAAGGACACAAGTGCAAAACAAAATCCTACATTCTCTAATGCTAATGCTAATGCCCCCCCCCCCCCCCACCAGAGCACCAAATAGAGATAGATAGAATTGGAGGGATGAAACCCTCTTTAATGGTCACACATGCTGAGCACACAGCACACAGGGACATTTGTTCTCTGCATTTAACCCATCCTAGTAGATGAAAAGCTGTAGGAACTGAGGGAAGATCTGAATTGTGTGGGTAAAAACATCTCACATAGCAACCGTTTCCCCCCTGGCACCAAATCAACCACGGTGAGCTGTGGCTGCAGCTAGTTTAGTCAAGTTTGAAAATTGCAGAGAGCGGTAAACAGTTACAGCGAGGAGGGCGTGCAGCTGAACTGTCACGCAGGACACGAGATGCTGTTGTGTTCCTTGCATTTTTACATGTTTGGGCTTCACTCCGTGGGAAGTTGTAGAAAGTGTTTGTGAAACACCAACTGACCCCATGCTGGTGCTCTTCGGTGAGGCATTTGACTGATAACCGTTCAATCATCTATGGCCGACAGTGAAAGACTGTGGCAGATCCTTGATGGGAACAAGGATAAGAAGTAAATATACACTCTGAGTCACTCTTCCCCTGGATGAATCAAAGATTTAAACTAAAAGATTGGTTAACCTCAAGCGGTCACAATAATGATAGACATTCACATCTTAAGGACTTTATTTATACCAGATATTTCCAGTCCTTTTTTATCCCTTCTACCTCTATTTATGAAGATTATTAGAGCATAAAAAAAGTTAATCAGAGAAGTACATTTTCTGCTCTGAGATCAAATTATTGTTGGTTAAAATATTCAATGCAAAGTTAAAATATTGAGAGGGAAATCAACTGTCTTGCTCCATTAAATAAGGTAAAAGGAGCGACTAAACGCATGCCAGATTGTGAATATCCTTGTGTTTGTGTGACTTCTACTTTCAACAAATGTAGTTTGACTTAATTCTGTCATTTCCCCTTATCCCTGGCCCCATTTCTCTTCCATAAGATCAACGTGCACCCAAACCAGTTTGTTGATGAGATCTGTTGCCTCTGACTCAGGTGTTTTTCTCACAGGCGGTCGGGCTAACGTACAGTCACAGATATTATTATGATATGAGAAGAGCAAGCATTGCATAACATTCCATGGTGAAATGAAAAACCGGCCCTGCAGGTGTTCGTCCTTCTTCTGTCCATTTATATCTGACTCATTGAAGTTGGTGTTGTAATCTTGTCTGGATAATCAGAGTAAATATGACTTCAGGAAACAGAGTTTGGATGACACATGACATGTGACGCATCAGAAAAAAGTAACTGACTTCCTCATGACAATGATTATGTCTTCTCCTATCAGCTTGATTCGGAATACTTGTTTTGTGTTGTGAGAGCCTTGGTGCATCACATGAATGTTCCCTGAACTCATTAGTCACATGCATCAGGGTAAAAGACGACTTGCTGTGGTGGCTAAGGCGGTTAGGGCTCACCTGTTCACCATGGCCTTTGACCCCTAACCCATCACAGTCCCCCTGCTTCCACTCCTACTGCTATTTATTTAAATGTTTACTTTATTATTTTCCCCTTTTGTTTGTTCACCATGTAAAGCGGCCTTGGGTCCCTTGAAAGGTGCTATACACATTTTATCTATTATTATTATTATTAGAAGAAGAAGTGTAAAAAACGCAGAAAGACAGGAGACCAAAATCAATTTCCACGACACAGAGGATTGTAAAATAAAATATTTTAGAGTTAGGGTGCACTGTCGTGCAAGAAAGACTTGCACGACAGTCTTTCTTCTCTGACATCATTGCCAAAAACAACGCACGTGCCTTGTTTGCTACCGTGGACAGACTAACTAACCCCCCAGTGTCAGTAGCCTCTGAATTTCTATCCACCAGGGCGTGCAATGATTTTGCCTCCTTCTTCACTGACACAATTCAGAAAATCAGACAAGCAGTCAGTGCCTCTGCATCAGGTACAGCAAATGTGTTGTCTCTATGTCCACCTAATATCAATTCAAACACCATGACACAATTCCATCAGATTAATGATAAAAACCTAGAGGACATTATTCAACTTCTGAAATCTTCCTCCTGCTGCCTTGATATTATTCCAACAGGATTCAGGATCAAAGATGTTTTTCATTGCATGGCCTCAGATCTACTTCACATAGTAAACAAGTCTCATTACTCAGGTGTTTTTCCACCGGCCCTGAAAACTGCAGTCATTAATCCGCTCTTAAAAAAGAACGCTGCTGCTCGAGTCCTCACTAACACTAAGAAAGTGGATCACATCACTCCTGTTCTGAAGTCTTTACACTGGCTTCCTGTGTGTCAAAGAATACATTTCAAAATACTGCTGCTGGTTTATAAAGCACTGAATGGTTTAGGCCCAAAATACATTTCTGACCTCCTGCTAAATTATGAACCATCCAGATCTCTCAGGTCTTCAGGGACTGGTCAGCTTTCTGTCCCCAGAGTCAGAACTAAACATGGTAAAGCAGCGTTCAGTTATTATGCTCCAAATATCTGGAATAAACTCCCAGAAACCTGCAGGTCCGCTGCAACTCTGACTACTTTTAAATCCAGGCTGAAGACTTTTCTTTTTGCCGCTGCTTTTAATTGAACTATTCACATCTTAGACTGCACTGTAACTTTTATTGTCTTTGCTTTTTATCTTTGCTTTTAAACGAGTGTTTCTAGATAATATGTTTCTTAATGCTCTTAATGTCTTTCATTTTTATAAAGCACTTTGAATTGCCTTGTGTTGAAAGGTGCTATATAAATAAACTTGCCTTGCCTTGCCTTAGGCCGGGTGTAGCTAGTGTATATCCAGGTCATTTCTGTGCAATGGTTACTTTTTACAGTACAATTAGCAAAATGAGAATGCAATAATGGAGTTTGGGTTAAGAGACAAAGTCCAAGAAAGATTTCTTTAAGAAGTAAGGCAAGGCAATTTTATTTATATAGCACCTTTCTATGGAAGCAAACAAGAGACAGAAGTATTCGAATTGTATTAGACACCGAATTTATAGCATTGAAAATAATTACTTTGAAAATCATGTATCTGAATGTTTTTGCTCCGAATTTACCTATGTGAAATAAAAATGTAAAATTCAAGTGAAAAAAATTCGAATGTTCAAATTCAGATCCCAAAAATTCGACGTCAAAAAATTCGATGTCAAAAAATTCGGTGTATAAAATTCGATGTCAAAAATTGCGATGCAGCATCATCCGGGTTACTCAGACAGGATAAGCAATCGAGCCCTAATGCAATCAAACTGACTTGGCCTATCAGAGCACGGCTTTGTCAGTCATGTGATCACAACAACCCGGGAGAAAAATGACGGAGAACAGCGGGGCTCGGCGCTCGGGTAAGTAGTCAGTTTGTGCTCTTTATCTTACAAGCAGTGAGGGCTCGACAGCATTTGTATCTTACATTAGCTAAATGAGTGAAGTAGCCTTGCTGTTAGCAAGCTCCGTAGTTATCATTAATTGAAGTGAATCACAACGTTACCGTGTCCTTTTGTGTGTGTGTGTGTGTGTGGGGGGGGGGGGGGGGGGGACGGTTTGCAAAGTAACGTAACGATCACTTCGGTTAGATAAGTCAAGTAGACCATGCTACACTATACGAAATACTCTCTTACAAAAGCCCTGCATTTAAACATGTTAATGTTACTTTAGTAAAAGTATGCTAGTATAATTAGCAACAAGTGTTGTTATTTAGTATTTAAAGTAGACACAAGTTATTCTATTCTATTATATCATTTGATTTATTGTTATTACCGATGCACGAGTTGACTTAACTGTTGTAGTTGGAGCTCATTTGAACAATGAGCTAACTAATTATTACTTTCATAATGGTGTAATGTGCTGACTATTTTCTACATTAATAGATGAAGGTCTGGTTTGTTCAAACTCTCAAAATAGTAGGACCAGAGCCCGAGAGACTCGAGGGCTCTGAGTAGGACATGCTGTCATAATTACCCAGAGTCCGAAGTGACACCTTTACAATGTTAAAGCTGTTGGATAAATGTAGTGACGTAAAAACTAAAGTATTCAAGATAGTGTAGTGGAAAAGAGATAATGTTTTTTTTTTTTAAACGTTACCAAAACAAAATCTCTTGTTTTGGACTGACAGTAATGATTCAAGAAATAGTAGATAAATAAATACACACACATCAATGTGTTGTGGATGTAACACAACACATGGTGCTCTTACCTGTGATGCCTCCTCCAAACATTATAACCAGACAGTATCATTCAAACTATAAGTAACAGTTCTAGCTACTTGACTTTAGACAAACAATTCAAAAGACAAAATCAACACAATGTATTGAAAGACCAATCTTTATTTCTCTCCTTTTGTTTGTGTTATTAAACCCTGTCAATCTAAAAAACTGAGCAACTCAACAGTTAACTTTATATTTCTTATTGTCCAAAGCATCTATTACACTATTTGTTCCCCTCTCATATTCACAGGATGGATGATTAGAGACTTTGGGGGAGACCTCAGCTTTATGAACGTCCTGTCTGTTGCTTTGGCCAGAGAGGGCTGAGGGTCTTTCCCTGCGAGGAGTCCTCCTCGCAGGGAAAGACCCTGCAGACCTGATGGAGGAGGACTTACACCAGCTGCACCTACAGAACTTAGCCCAT